TGTTCATCTATTTCTCTATTCCTCCCCCCTCCTCTTCCACAATATATTTAAATGTAAAAACGAAGAAGCTTTATAAGTGAAAGATTCCCATAATATGCTTACAATATAAGAATGTAATATGCATTTATAAATCTAAAAAATTAAAGCGCTTGACTCAGCTCCTGTCTAAATAATAGAAAAAATAAAAAATATAAGTTTTTGAATAATCTTACCTAACATTTTGCTAACATAGGGTTCAATATCAACATCCTGAAGATGTTCATGTGTATGTGCATGATACAGCCTAGAGTTGCCAATATTCACCAAACATGACAAGAAAATATTAGGAATTGATACAGGAGGATAATTGTTTAATGTTGCAGATGGTTAGGTTAGATCATTAGTCACGTCATAATAAAATGTATGATTATCCATTTTCATGGATAATGGATATTGTGTATATCAAGTAACAAGGATATTGGATATCTCTTATATAGGGTACTGTGAATATAATGTTTAATAAAATAAACAAAATCTAATAGAAAAAATTAAAAATTTAAATTAAATAAAAAATTACCACCAAGTTTAAACCAGTGTAAAAATTTATACATGAGCTGATTTGCCAAAATTGTCTAGACCCTATATCTTTACAGCCTGATGGTGTAAACTTTTACTATTTCCAACTTAGACAACATAACTTTTGACAAGTTTGAAAAATTTGCGAAATTATAAGGATTCCAAATATTGAGTGTGAGGAAAATAATCAGGTTATTTTGAATAAGAAAAATGTTTTTTAAAGAAGATGTGAACTAAAAAAAAATTAGACAAGAAAAAGAAAAAATTCCAAAGAAAAGGGATAATATTTAGAATTTGATAAAACAACATAAATATTTGTTGGTTTGAAGTTCCTAAGAGTGGAATCAAGTCGAATAGAAACCCAAACTCCATCTCCGACCCAGGCCATTTGTCGAACCTAAAAATGCGCATCACTAAAGATTTTTTTGGCAAGATGCAGATTTCATGTTTCAGGTGAAAAATATTAAAATGAAGGAAACCAAATACAAAAAATATTCCTTTTTCATTTAGAAAAAGTCCGCTAAAATCTTCGAAAACCCCCAAAATTGCATTTGTATTTATTGTTAAATAAAAAGGTTTAACCAAAAATTCGCGAAAAATAGTCAAGGAAGTTCTGCACCAGATCTTACCCCGAAAAAAATAAATTCCCTTCTTAAACATTTTGTTATTCAAAACATTGTTAAAAGTGAATAAATTTGTATGTTTTCTGTTTAATATTGGAAACCACAATAATCTATCAATTGATATGAAAAACTGTAATTGATAATTATGGTTTATTTAGTGAGTAAAGAAAAGGTTTAATCTGAATACATTATCCAACATTAGTCTCTATTAGACCCAACTCAGTGGAAAATAATAAAAGAATATACATTAGTCTGGTGCAGGATACAGTTAGTTCCACACTTTACAGATTTATCTTTGCTTTGGGAATAATTTTTACAGAATTGGAAATAATTAAAAATAGGTCTTTCATCCATTTTTTCACCCTTCCAGAGAAGTCTAAAAATTTTCAGAAAATTTTTACATTCTAATTTTTTGGATTTTACCGTAGCTCTTGTCATTCACACAAACAACGGGGGGAAGTAGGCGATTATATCTTTATAAGTAAGATGACTTTTTTATTTAAGTTTTACCAGATCTTACCCCGAAAAAAATAAATTCCCTTCTTAAACATTTTGTTATTCAAAACATTGTTAAAAGTGAATAAATTTGTATGTTTTCTGTTTAATATTGGAAACCACAATAATCTATCAATTGATATGAAAAACTGTAATTGATAATTATGGTTTATTTAGTGAGTAAAGAAAAGGTTTAATCTGAATACATTATCCAACATTAGTCTCTATTAGACCCAACTCAGTGGAAAATAATAAAAGAATATACATTAGTCTGGTGCAGGATACAGTTAGTTCCACACTTTACAGATTTATCTTTGCTTTGGGAATAATTTTTACTGAATTGGAAATAATTAAAAATAGGTCTTTCATCCATTTTTTCACCCTTCCAGAGAAGTCTAAAAATTTTCAGAAAATTTTTACATTCTAATTTTTTGGATTTTACCGTAGCTCTTGTCATTCACACAAACAACGGGGGGAAGTAGGCGATTATATCTTTATAAGTAAGATGACTTTTTTATTTAAGTTTTTATTGTTAAAAAGCTTTTTTCAAAGAGTACAAGTAATTAAAGAGAAGCTTTTTTTTAATTGACAGCTTCTCTTTGTTTCCATGTTTTCGTGTTTTTAATAGCTTGATAAAAATCAAAATTGAAATTAAAAGTAGTCTTCATTATATTAATATAATCGCCTACCACTGTAGTTTTGTGATATATAGTTTGTGGGAAAATTGAAGGAAAAAGCGTGAGAATTATGCAATATGAGAAAATTTTTAAATGATTAATGGGAATTTGCAGGGTTTCTTTCACAACTTGCCAACATAAATAACGTCACACAAAATGTTGATCAAAAAATACAACTGATTTTTTTCAAACTCATATGGCGTTTACTCTCCATGGGGGAAATGTTAAGGCGTATTCTTAACAAATGTCTAATCTGAATTAAGCCAGGGAAAAATATTTTTAAGAATTATTTTGATAAAAAAATTATTTTCAAGAAAATTTATACCTATGATTCAATCGTGAAAAATGTAAGACTATATTAAACCAAAAAAAAAATATCCCTTGAATGACAAATCTAATTTTCCAGTTCATTGTAACTCAAATAGATGAGTCAGCAAAAAAGAAAATCATAAATAGTGTAAAATTACAAAATTTAAAAGATGAGAAAAGAAACATTTATCTACTTGGGGAGGAATGGGGGGAGGAAGGGGGGAGGACTGTATCGTTGAAAACGTAAACCCCTCTTTGGGAAATTTAAACCTAGAATTTGAGAGGGAAAATTTGGATTAATGATGAATGTATGAAAAAATTTGGTTTGTTTATTAAAAGTATTCTGAGACTATGTCAAAATGCAAAAACTATTTATTTTATTAATTATACACTAGATAGAAAATAACCCTACCTGGCTTTCTTTTCTAGGATGAGCATCAAAACAAGCCTCGACACTCATTAGTCTAGAGAATATAAATAATTTTTATTTAGAATAATAATGAGGTCTTTATCTGTAACCTAACCTAACTAAATAACCTATATTTTACATAAGTTCAATAACATAAACTCTTGTATCCTGTATTTAAGCTTGCCTAGAATCTATAACATGAACTCTGTATCCTGTATCCTACCTTACGTAGGATCTATAAAATGAACTTTGTATTCCGTATCCTAGCTAACCTAGGATCTACAACATTAACTCTGTATCCTGTATCCTAGCTTGCCTAGAATCTATAAGATGAACTTTATATCATGTATCCTAGCTTACCTAGGATCTATAACATGAACTCTGTATTCTGTATCCTAGATTACCTGGGATCTATAACATGAACTCTGTATTCTATCCTAGCTTACCTAGGATCTATAACATGAACTCTGTATAGACTGTTCAAATGATTCGATGTTGAATGTTTTCTTATTTATTTTATTTTATTTTATTCACTCTACAAAGCTTTGTTTGATCAAGTAGAAATTAAATATCAATATTTATAATTCTTAAAACCGACTATTTTCAATTGTAATTTCTCTACAACAGTGGCTTGCGCATTTCTACTACAGGAAAACATACATGAATTATCAGAAATAAACACTTTTACGCCTAGGAATATATTCCAAATTTTTGATAATATAAAGGTTTCAAGGGTACCATTGTTAATCGAATATTGTCATTAAAATACCCTTACAGTCCCTTTAGCTACATCTTTTAGTATCTCAAGTAGATCGAGAACAAGAGTCAAGTTCAATCCAACATTTTTAATTTAAATTATAAACTGAAATTTTAAAAATTACTTTAAATATAAGATAATTTTTTAAATATTATTTAATGACCATTAATTTACCTGAGATCCCATTGACCCTCAGAATCTCGATGAAAAATAGCAACAGTACCATCTGCCAGTGCTGCCAGTACTCTTCCCTTCACATGACTAGAAAAGTATAAAAAGTTATGTAAACGATCTTTTATACTAATTCATCCATTAGAATAACGGCATCATTAATTCTATATCCATATATAAAAAGATGTAATCTCTGTTTAGGTGTCTGTCTGTTTACTTCTTTGTCCGATCATATCTTAGAAACTACTGGACCGATTTGCCTCAAATTTGTATTGGCGAACTCAGGAGAAACATGGCAATATTCTTAACTTCGTTTTGAGATTCTAAGTTGAGTGGGTCGAAATTTAGTTTGCAAGTAAAATCGATCAAATGCGGGTAAACAGCGGGGGTAACTATGAGTAACCTGGCCCAGGCTGGGTTCCGAAGCTAGTAGTTACTATATAGATTGTTATAAAACATTCAAAACCCCAAAAAATTCGNCCCTCCCTCCCATTAATTCTAAAAAAATATGCCCGTGATTTATTGAAATTTCTGAGGACCAAGAAAAGATGAAAAATTTCCCTTTTTTGCGTTGATACTTAAGATCTATTGTTGGGATTGATGGTTAGTAGTTACACTGATGAAACTATGTACTTTGTATCATTGGGTTGTAAACAGGACAGGGTGAACTAATATGTCAAGCTTATCTGCCCGAAATTAAAAAAGTTAAATTCTGTTATTTTTTTTATGATATTCACGATCATTTAGATGTCTTGAATTAGGTTTCAAAAGCCTTAATTAATCCTTTTTTAACCAACAAAATGTAGAGCTTCCGATCATAAATAATTTAGTTGGTTTTGAGTGTAAAATCTAACGAAAGCATGAACTCGTACAACGGCAAATAAGGTCGAAAGTACCACTGTGGTTTAAAGGGAGTGACCGGCTATGTAAGGTAGATGAACTGAGTATGCAGTGTTTTGGAAAACATCTTTCGGATTCATTCGAGACATATTAAACTATTTAAAGATCTGTAAATCCTGAATTTGAGCGCAAATTCGACGTTCAAAACTCCTACTTTGGGGGGTGGATACGTTTTCAGAATTAGTTTTTTTTAATTACCAAATAACGACATTGAAAAATAAAGTAAAAATTATACAGAAATCTAATTAGATGGTTAGAAACATTCTAATCAAAAGAAATTTGTCAATAAATCAATGCTTAACTCGATTATTTCATTTTCATTATTATATTGAATTTCTTATCTTCTTTGAATTTATTCGCAGATTTCTTCAAATTCTTTAAATGTCGACTTTTCAATAATAATTCTAGAAAATCTGCGAAAATCTTTGTGAATAATAAGAAACCAGAATAATGCGAAAAAAAGAAAAAATAATTGAACAAGATTACTTATTTTAGATGATAAGATTAATATTTATTTTCTCAACATGTTCCTATACATGACGTCTGTAGTTTATTGTCGAACTTTTTTTACATTTTATGTCGTCGTAATTTAAAAATTTTTAAAAACTAATTCTGAAAACGTATCCACCCCCAAAGTAGGAGTTTTGAACGTCGAATTTGCACTCAAACTCAGGATTTACAGATCTTTAAAAAGTTTAATATGTCTCAAATGAATCCGAAAGAAGTTTTCCACAACACTGCATACTCAGTTCAACTACATTAAATAGCCGGTCACTCCCTTTAAAGAATGCAAGCTCTCCAGCAAAATTTTTGAGAATTTTTACGATTACTTCTTAAAAACCAAAGCTAATAATAATAAGTGCTTTACGTTGCTCAAATGTACATGTATAAGGAAACAGTAAAGCATAAGCGAGTTAGAGCAGTAAAATCAAAACCCAAGGCATTGCGACACTTCAAAGTCGACCCTGTCTTAAAAATTGATGAGACTTTTTATAAGCAGGCTGAATCTATGTAAGGTTAAGAGTCATATTTTAAGCAGTGCACAAGTAATTAGACCTGTAAAGTAAATAAGTGACAATTAAAAGCTTAATGTAGTGTCGTCTCAAAAATGTCATCCTTCGCGTTTCACCCTGTTTTAACAGAAGTTGAGCCTTTGCCACTCAAATTTTCGAATCTTTGCAACCTGATGGTGTAAACTTTTGATATTTCAGACTTAAAATTATTTGTTCTATTATTAATCATAGTTTGTAATATCCAAGGCAAAGATATAGGGATTAAAAAATCAAAGTTTGTGACAAAAACTTAATTTTTTGTTTAAAATATGTTGGCTGAGCTGCCAAGTAAAGGGTGGATCAAAAAAGTTGGCTGGTCGAATTTGGGCCCACATGTTATCCACCTATTCATCTATTCATCTATTCATCTATTCATCTATTCACCTATTCATCTATTCATCTATTCATTTATTAATTTATTCATCTATTCATCTATTCATCTATTCATCTATTCATCTATTCATCTATTCATCTATTCATCTATTCACCTATTCATCTATTAAATAAATATACAAATACTAGGCCTTTTCACGTCCATCTTCTTACTAAAAAAAATGTTCGCGGATTTTATAAAATAAATTCGTGGATTATTTAAAATTATATAGATATAGATTAAACTTATTTCACTTAACTCATCAATATGGAGTAAAAAACATTACTTTTGCCAATTAAAATAGTACAGGGACTTAAGTTTAGTCTCATTGTTTAAATTAAATCAGAAGTACTAAATCATAGTGGGACCAATACAATATTGTAGAATAGGAAGACTAAAATTATGAATACTTGAATAGTCCACTAAATATTAAACACAAAATTTTGAAGTTAATACGTTGATTTTCTACCTTCTATGCAGGTAAATCCCATTTATTACAATTAAGTTTACTTAAAGGTCTTCTTTCTTTTTTTCACATTTTAATGGTTGCCATTGTATAGTGAAAATACTTACACAATTGATAAAACTGAGTCCTTGAGTCGAATTGAGTGAATACATCGTTTCCATTGAGATACAGCAGAGTGTACATAAATAGATCCAGATTGAGATCCCAACCACATTGTTGGTTGTACACTAGACATCTTAGATACTTCAGAATACGCGTATTCATTGTCCTAAAATAACATTCATTTCAGATCAAAATCTTGCATTATTTTCTACAGGACTCCTTTTTCTGAACATCAAACAAGTTTTGAAAGAAATTAAGACTTTGCCACAAATTCTGATTTTCTAATTCCTTAATCTTTGCAACCCACTTTAGATATTTCAAAATATGAATTCTGTTGGATTAAAAATCTAAGGTTTAAGATATGAAAGGTTTAACCATCAAGTTGTAAAGATAGAAGGATTAGAAAATCTAAACTTGTTTCAAAGATTCAATTCCTTTGTATGGACAATTAAATAAGTTTGCTTTTTACTTGTTTTCTTGCTTACAATAGAATTGTTTTATAACGTTTCCTGTATTCAAACTTATGATTTTTTTAGACATTAATAAATATTTGGGATCCCGAAACTCGTGCTGTACACATAAAAGTTAATAATTGATAAATTTAAAATATTATCCAAAATTTTATCAGTGCTGTCAAATAATCCTCTTTGAAACTTCAGTCGAATGACAAATTGCATAAAATGCAAAACTTGTTTGCCATAAATTTAGCAAACCAGGGAGATACATCTTAAAATTTGAAATACTTTTTTACGGTTTTCATCCGAAAATGAAATGTGCGCGCATAACTGTAGCAAACAATCGACCTTATACCAGGGTGATACATCTTTAATTTGAAATGATTTTTTTACGGGTTACTTCAGAAAAGTATATGTGCATAAAGATTGATTTTCATCAGAGTTTGACCAAAGGTCAATAATTTTTATTGTTAATCATGGGATTAATCACTTATTCTTAACATTTAAAAGTTGGCACAATGGATATCAAGATCAAACCTAGTAGATTAGCGCTTTTTCATTTTCACACAAACATTTTGACTTGAGTTCTACTTCTCTCTTACCTTGGATACTTCTGCTAGACCATCTTTAACAGCCGCTGATTGTTCTTTCGAGAATATTCTCTGTACAGCTGGTGAACCTTCAGTAGTCTCTATCTGATCCTGGGTACCTGCATATATAAAAACTTAGGGACAAGAAATTGTATTCAGTGTTTTGAGATTGGAACCGGTTTTGGGCGGTTTAGCGACGCGGTTTAAATTCTTTAAATTCAGCCTCTGAGACAACTGACCTAAACCAGTGTTACTATAGTATGTTATTTAATTGCTTAAAGACCAAAAAGATGGGTTTATAACATCTAATGAATGGTCATAGTATTTTAATTCAGGTTGGGTCAGGTAAAAAGCAAACTTTTAATGAAAGTTTAAAACTGATCTAACGAGGTAAACTTTTTTACCAGACAAGCACAAATTTGGCACAAAAACATTTTACAAATTTTTCTTAAAATCAAGTTTACAAAATGGTTTAAGCTGCATATATTTTATAAGAATAAATATCTGCTATTGCTCCTTCTCCATCTTTATTTATTAACTTTCAAGAAAGTTTTCTGGGATTTTCAGTAAAAATTTAGAATCAACATTGAAATGAGAAAAAAAGGTTAAATATCAAATAAGATTGTTCGACATCTTCCCAGCGGATTCCCCTGTCGTAAAATTAAACATGTACCCCTTGCTTTATCCCTGTTTATAAAGAACCCCCTCCTTGTATAACTTACTGTCTAGGTCCCTGGAAATGTTAACAGTGTTATAAGAAATGAAGGGAAGGGTATGAAGGTTAGTAGCGGCATCCTCCAGTTTATAAACATCTAGCCGACGATGCAATCCCGGCCGTCCTAGAGGTTAAAGTTAACCAATGAGAGTAGAAGTAAAGAGAAGAGGAACAAGTTTGTTATCATATTATTGTGACGTATCAGAACAGCTTTAGAACCGGTTTTATAATAAACAGTATTAAGGATTGTAGACAAGACGATCCATTGATTGATTAACGTTTATTTCTCTGTTTGTGACTGGCCCCTGTAATCTTAAATCATTAAATCATTTGTGGATTCAGTTTATAAAATATTGTTTGCTTACAATAAAACCTGTTTAGAGCTGTACTAATACGTCACTGTTGAAACCCTTCTTCTTAGTTGTGTATCTCTATAATAAGGTTTACGACGGTAAGTTCCATATTATTAATATGATTAAAATTCAGAATCAGAATCTTTAAATATTGTATGACTTGAAATTACAACGAGATTAAATGATATCGTGTAGGACGACCCAAAAGATAATACAATTATAATGTAATTTGTCCTATCTATGTACTCAATGCTACGAGGTTTAAATAATGTTCAATGTTCATTGTTCATTACTCAAAATATGTTTATTTAACACTTTAGTGAGTTTGATGAAAAAATGTTGACAAGAAATAAATGTATAAAGTTAAATCTGGTGTTATGTGTACAATGGGCAAACAAAAGATAAGGAAAAGGGGTATTTATTTTCCTTGAAAAATTCTTTTGCTAAATTCATCAGATTTATAGTTTGCGGTGATTATACAATTTTAACTTTTGAATTTTGGCCACAAAACACAACAAAACATAAAAACTATCAGGATTTAAGCATTATTTTATTCTGGTTAATAATAATCCCAAATATCTAGAAATATTTACCCCTGTTCCTCCCTTGGTTAGTAGTTAAGAACAAATGCAAAAAAAAAAAACAAAAAAAACACAACATACCCATTTCCACTGCTCTTTCACGAGTGAGCCTAGGTTTTACATCTAAAAATGAGAAGGAAAAAATTAAAACAAAAATCTAGGACTAAAAAATATATATATAATAACAAGAGTAAACAATAAACATAAACCATGCCAAACTATACAATGTTCGGTGTTTATATCAATACAATAAAGACTGATTTTTTAATTGTTTTTTTTTAAGTTAACGAGTAAACAGAGAGATCCTGTTAATTGGTATATTCTCTTTTTCATTATATTCAATTGAATAGAATAAAAGAGATAAGGTTTATGCGTATTCATATTCCTTCTGTTTGAAAGCATTGTATTGATATATACGACGATATAATCTGCAGTACTCTGACCGAAGATAAAGTAGCGTTTAGTGGAGTGTTCCTACCTTCCTCAACAGTATCCTGCTGAAGAGGGTGCTCTATACTTCCCTCGCCCTCTCCAGCACCACTCGACACAAAACTTTGCAACCAATTAATATTTGGGACAAAACTCATCTATAAATTAATCCCTTGAAATAGCTGTCATATATTAATAAATGTTTTATTCCTTTGCACCTCAAAAAATGCATTATTATTGTAAAAAAAACTTTTTATTTTTTTGTTTTATTTTTATTGGCGTTTATTATGCTACAAACATCTTTAAATAAAAATCTGAAGTTTCGCAGATTTGTCTCTATTTGCGGATTTATTAATATATATGAAGTAAGCTGAAAGAAAACATTCAGTAAAACAAGTTTGAAAACCAGGAATTTTAAAACATAAAATAATTTTCCAACTTAGTATATTTTTAGTTCTAAAATATATTCCAACTGCTAAACTTTATCTTAATTCACAAATCTTTTAAATTTTTGCAAAACATTTTCCCGTCTGAGGTTAATTTTTAAACCCAACCCCCCCTTCATAAAATTAGAGAAATCATAATCTTAAATATATATATTCAGTTTAAAAATACATATATTCTATATTTGTCTTTTCTGAGTGAAAGAAAATTCTTTCTTTTTAACAATTTATAGGTTCTCTCTTCCGCCATTTTATTTTTCTTCAGAAATATTGGTTATTTAAGAATATAAATAAATCAATAAATCAAGTAAAAAATGGATTTAAAACTTTGCAAAATCTTAATCTTTAAAGTTTAAATTTTCTTGAATAAATCTTTTTGACATTATTATCCGGAAATTAAAAGAAAACAGAAAATGATTTTAAAATTTGAGCTTAATTCTTTTTTATTAATTGCCTAATAGAGCCGAGGGGTTTTTGAGGAGAATCGTCCGGGCTTGATTTTTCTGAGTCTTTCGAGGGATCCTTTACAGGGTTTGTGATGGACTCCTCTACACGGACCTTATTCAGATCAGGGTCCACGATATAATCATCCTCCTTGGCCCCTAAACCATGGACAACGAAATGTTTGGGACTTCACTTCGAGATAAAAATGGGAAAATATCATTTTTCCCATTTCAATCATCTAAAATAACAGTAAACTAACACATAACGAGAAAGATAAAAATGGCGAGTATTTTTTCGTACATATAAGACATTATACTGCTGTTGAACAGTTTAAAAAAACATGTATATGACCAGCTTCACACATAAAAATCTATCTTTTCAAAAGCGTTCACAAATAAAAAAAGACCACTTTAAAAACTGTGAGATTCTACAATGATGTTTATCAAAGTTTTAAAAGCTTATGATAACCATCATGTTTCACCCCGAATTAAACTTTAAGTAAAGGAACTGAACGCTTGACACTTTATTTAAGTTTCTAATCCTTAAATATTTGTAACCTAAAGGTGCATATGTATGACAGTCAAACTTAGACAATTTTATCTAACAAAATTTAAAGTGTGAAATATCAAATATAAGGTTGCAAAGATATAGGGATTAGAAAATGTAAGTTTGTGGAAAAGACTCAATCCCTTTGACCATTTCCTTTTCGTCTAGATTTAACTGCTAGATAGAATTGTACCAGAAGATTTTGTATCGAGTATTGAGCGAGAAAATGAGAAAATTGCATTTGTGAAACGTGTCACGTATTTGCTTTTCAATCAATACTTTGCACAAATATATTTCATCGAGAATCCAGGAGGCATTATATCTAATTCCCCCCTCATCTCACCACCACCTTTTACAATTTCAAATTTATAATATAATTTCAGAGCCACACACGTTTTTAATTGTCTACAGTTTTATTTCTCAAATAAAGATAAAAGAATTTTAATTCTCGAATGGAAAATCAATTTTAATTAAAAATCATTATTTTATGGCTATCGTTAGAATATCAAACATCGCATTGATTTCTTCAACAGAAACTACTATATAGATACTAATTCAAGTGCCCGGCGCTGCCCGTGAAATTAAGAAAATAAAAATCTAATTTTTAAAAAAAGATTATTTTATATGGCCCTTAAAAAATTCAGCCAATTTGGTCAAGCTGTTTGACTAGCTATAGCTAACAAATATATATATTCAAATATGTATATATATATATATATACATATGAGCAAAGAGCTTTACTTTAAAGATACAAGCCAACAGAGACATTGGACATTGCACAATTTGAATTCTAGTTTTTCAGATACCCCGCATATGATAGCAGATTAAAATCAAATTAAGCGATATGATGTGTATTAAATGTTGTTAAAAGGCAAATACTTAATATTCAACATTCATCCAATAGAATGATATGGGTCCGTATACGACTTCAATTGCTGTGTTTTATATTCATTGTACTTTTTACAATCATAACTTGAGTTCAACACTCAACAGTCGTCTTCCTATTCCACATTATTATGGGTCTCCCTGTACCTGGGACACTGGCAATACAGAGAAGATGTGATGAGCAGACATGAAAAGATTCTAGAACATCTGCTGGGTTGTTTGCATCTATTACTGTTACTTTACTAAAATATTTAACAGCTTTAAAATATTGGCAACTGGGAAATGTTTACATATCTACCATAAGAGCTGAAAAAGATGGAATTAACTTTTTAGTATAGAACAAAATTAAACTTGGTTTAAACATAAAAGGACAGTGGGCATAAATTTAAGTGATCCAATTTCATTAAAGATAAAAAAAGCTTGTTTTAACACAATAAAGGTAACCAGAAAACTTATTAATGTACTAAAGTCGTAATTTTTATTTTAAAATGACTTGAAGATTTTTTATACAAAGAAAACAAGAAGGGCTACCGGTACATTGTACAAGATTTGTTGCTTTCAAAATGGAAAACGCAAGAAATAATCATCTGTGCTAAACTTAAGTGTTAAAAACCTATTTAACGTTTTGATGAAAATTTATTCAAAGGGGGGGGGGGGGTTTTCTGGAAAATTTATACACCCATGATTCTTTAGATAACAAGTATACTTAAATGTATTCTACCTTATGCTATGCGTGGATGTACATATCCATACTAGTGATGACAATTGTAACTCTGCTTTTGCAGATTCCTAAATTTAAAAAATATTTAATTTAAACTCAATTAAATGCAAGTTTTTAAATTTATCAATTCATCAAATCAATAATTTACAAATAAACCTGTGATAAGCTTTCTCCATCCTTTAATTCTTGATCCAGTTTGGAGACCTCGTCTTCCTCGTGCACTGGATGCCGCGTCTCAGATTCTGGTGGCGAGGAATAGAACACGCTTGCACCAACAATCTCTCCGCCATCTTTAGTTTTTCCTCCTAAACAAACAGGGATTATAAGAGTTGATTAGAAGGGAAAAATCAACAGTTGTTAAGGAATTGATTTTTTGCAACAAACTTACATTTTCTAACCCCTATATCTTTGCAACCTGATGGTGTAAACCTTTGATATTTCAAACGTAGATTATTTGATCTACCAGAATTGTTAGTTTGAAATATCGAAGGTCTAAGAAAACGGGTTGCTAAGTTATAGGAAATAGAAAATCTAAGTTTGTGGCAAAAACTCAATTCCTTTGCATCAAAAAATAGATTTCCCTTGATTAATATTTACTTTTAAATACATTAAATTAGAAAATTAAGAGATATAGAAACTTGTCTAGATAAAAGTTTAATGTTTCTAAAATTTCATCTTCTGTTTTGCTTTTGGTGTTTAATATCGAAAATGAAAAATATAAAATCATAATATATTTCCTTTCTTTGCAATATCTGAAAATACATATACACTCAGCCGGCTGATAGAGAAGCTGTCAAATCTGTCAAGAAATATAGAAATCAATTCTTCAGCATCCTCACTCAATGTTCTTATCAATCAAAGTTAATTTTTCCTCACAGTGAAGATGGGATATTCCAAATAATTCAATAAATTTATAAAAAAAATGTATTTTGCTTAATGATTTAAAGCTTTGTAAAATCAATAAAAGCGTTTATGAAAAGTTTCAATTTAACTTGGCACATTTTTCTTGTTTAAGATGGTCTCGGCCTTAGAAATTTGAAAAACACTTCAATTAATTAAATAAATAAATCTTTCTTTTTGGAAAAATATTTGTAAAACAAACAATCCAATATTTCCTATTTTATGATGTAATCCTGGTGTCAAGGTTCAGATCTTGGATCAATTTAGCTGGATTATTTATAGCACCAAGCATTGCAAACTGGTCACAATTCTTTTCTATGACCAGTGCTAAGGATCCGGATCTATTGCATCCAAAAAATTTTAGCTCCCTGGATCTGGATCCGCAAATATATTCACTATGCAGTTCCACGGAACCGGATTCACAACGAAAAATTTCATTCAACACATCAAAAAATACTTTTTGCTCTTAATTGCATTCAATGAGATATCATGCAAGCTTTTCTAGTCATTGACCAGTCAATCAAATTTCTGCATAAAAATAGCAAAAACAGAAAAGAATTCTAGAAACTTTAAAGGTAAAATCAATAGCACATTTTAAAGTTTATGAGCGGAAGAAATGTCTTCCACCGCAGATAACTTCAGAAGAAATTAACAAACAAACAAATATTCTTAGAATATCTCAGTTGATAATATCTACCTGTAAGGTTGACCCCTGCAGCGCACCATATTTTCATTCCTGGTTCCTTCTCAGTCAAGGGTCTACAGTAGACAGGAACAGGGACAGGAACAGTGGATCTGTAACAGGAAGTTCTTTACTAACTTTTACGTCATAGCACTTTGAATTGATATAAAATGTAATAACATTTGTCTAAAAAAATCAGCTGGAAAAAGGGGGAGTTCAATAAATTGAATTGAAAGTCTTTTTCATGGATAAAGAGTTTGACTCTGTCTAAATCCTATGTTTTGGGCTCCAGTATTCTGTTCCTATATTACCTGTTCTGCTCCTCGTCAGGTTTAGGTAGGGTAGAGGCAGGTTTAGCAGGCAAAGACCAACCATAGGCCTAAACATTATAACTTTGTGGATTTTTGGTGGCAAACCTATTTAACTCATTTCCTCTTAAAAGTAAAATTATCTTTATTTCTTGATATTTTTCTTTAAACATTATCACAATAACTTGTCATTTCTTGCAATAAAAACATTTGACGACATTTGCGAAAGCCCAATAATTGTAAAAATTTTCAATCAAATTTGTCATTCATTACAACTATTGAAGATCTGTGACAGGTTTGATGTTGACATTCAATTCACATGTTTGTCGGGACACCTAGATCATAAAACATTGCCACTGGCTTTAAACCTAACTTTCAATACATGGGATGAATTTAGATTATAGTTTAGATAGCTATTGGACCGTTTTTAAACGTTTTTGTTCATAACTTCAACAAGATTCTTAAATTGTCTTGTATTTACTTCCTGTAACATCAGTAAAATATTGCCCCCTTTATACCATCAAGGGGTTTGTAAATAAGATTTTTGAAATTTTTGACAATAGCTGGCAAGATTTTTATTCTAAATATAGATACAGTTTAACCAATAATTCATCTTATTCTCATAAAAAATGTTTTTTTTCTGATTCTTCAAACAAAATTCTAATGAATAAGTCTTACCTGTAACCGCCCATCGTCTTTCTTGACATGTGCTCTAACTTGTTTATATTGTTCCTTCCTCTCCTGTGCCCTCCTAGCGGTCAGCTTGTCAGAGGGTCTGGTAATTAGTATTATGTTAGTGGACTATTGACTACACAAACAAAAACTAAAAAGACTATAATTTAAATTCAAAATGACTATGCATCCCACACAATAATGATTTATTTGGTGTATTGTCCTGTTTTGCCTTATATAGTCTGATGTATGTATAAAAACTTGATCTGGCTACGTAAGGGTATGTGCAGTACATTAAATGAACCGGTTGAGACCACGTTGGCAATATATAGGTCTTTCTTTTTTTAAAAAGATAACATCTTTTTATTATTTTCTGAAAAATCTGTTTGACAAATGACAAGCCTACTACAAAGATTTATGAGACTTTCCATTAATTCATCAATCTACTGTTTTATTTTGTATATTTTGTCAAATACCAATGAAAAAATGTGTTTTTTTTCAAAATGGTTGTCCACTGTCCAGAACTTTTTGTAAAAGGTTCATTTTGTATTCTGGAACTGACTGTTATTAGTAATCACAGAAAATGAATGGGTCCTGTCTAATTTAACATGAAAGGTCCTTTGAACCTTATTTACAATTTAGAGAGAGATATTTCAAAGAATATTTGCAGAGTAAATTACAAGTTGCATCCAGAAAATATATTTCTAAAATATGGGATTCATATTTTCATCTATACAATTTGAAAACTCTACAATCATGTTTTTTTAATCATCTTTCGAAAATGGCTATTTTTTTAAGTTACATCCGTAAAATAGAGAAAATAAAACGGTTATTGCTAAAATTTGATACCCAATAATATTAGAATATTAAAAATGCAATTAAACTACTTATAAACAAACACATACTGAGCCGAAGGAAGTGGAAAATTGCTCAGGAAAGTGACTTATACCAGCTTCAACTTCAAATATGAGCCAAGGAAATTGTGTTTGGCAATGTATTGGATTTTAAAACTTTTAAATTTGTGTTTACGTCAGCTTGCTACTCCTTGGTTATATCTAATGTCAATCCTGTATAATGTAAACCACTGTTGGAATATTAAACCCCAAGGATAAAAGAAAAGGAAATCTTATGGAGAACTCCACAAAGAATAATAACAGAGAAAACGCCTTTCTTTTGTAAACTAAAATAGATTTTTTACAACAGGGTCCACATTTTTTCTTATTGTTAACCAGGTTTGAAACCATTTCAGAAATAACAACATTTACTTAATTACTTCTTGAAAATGCTTAAATCTATGTGATGTTGAGGGCACAAGTCGCTCAATAACCAGAATTGTTTACTCAGATCTACCAAAATTATGAGAAACACAGTGACAATTTATAGGAAAAGAAAGAAATAATATTTTTCTCAATAAAATGTTCATCTTAAATCTTATATCTCAAATCGTATTTTCAGACATTCAGGATTTAAAGCTTATTTATCTAGAAATGAGCAACAATATTTATTATAAAAAAAAAACATCAAAAGGGGAAAATGAAATGTAATTAAGTCAGTGATTGAAACCAACAAATGTCTAGTTTACTTCTTCTACTTTCAAACTGAGTGCTAAGTTCTATTTCCGGCGGTGTAGAAGGCCCTGATGTAGATTCAGTATTGCAGTTTAGACAAGCTATCTTATTGGTTTCCTTACTAACATTTTCTAAAGAAATACTTGATTCTAAAACAGTGTTATTTTGGGTTATGTTTGTTTGATCTTCTAGACCAGAATCAAACAACTCTCTAGTATTAAAGTTCAAGTGAGAACAGTTTAGTGTTGAAGGATGGGTTAATAATGATGGGGGTAATGGATCAAGGAGGGTGAGAGAGGGAGGGTGGAAAGGAGCTGGAAAAGGAGCGTTCAGTATATCAGATGTCTCCCACCATCTTTAAACAAAGATATATTGAAAAATATAAATCATTAATCTTGCAGTCTAGTAGAACACAGTTTTATTTCATGGAATATCTGGTGGCTCCATAAAAAAGACAAAACAAAATATTTAACCTTAAATATCCCAAATAAAAATATGGAATATCTGGTGGCTCCATAAAAAAGACAAAACAAAATATTTAACCTTAAATATCCCAAATAAAAATAGCCTTACAAACAAATTTAGTCTTCAACACTTGTATAATTGGACAATTTTAAAGCGAACCTAAAGTAGCTCCTTTTAATACACTAAACCATTGAAATTGTTTTATACTGGGTGAATACTCAATGCAATTCTAACAAAAGATAGGATGCATCAAAGGAGGTACAATACAAATCGAACTGATTAAAATAGAACTAGAAGTTTTTGGACAGAAATACATCAATCCCTTTTATAAAAATAGGTTTGCACATTTTCTAACCTTTATATCTTTTGTTACATTTGTGGGTTGGATTTCATACATTAAAGTTTTAAAAGTGACACAAATGTAATATTTGGTTGAATTTTAATAGTTTAAGTTTACATATAGAATACACATGACGTAACTTGTTAATGCCAGTCTGGTTTATTAGGATAGTTTTATAGAATAATTATTTATTTGAAAGACTAAATATTTGCATCAAGGAAAAATAAAATTTGAATAATGATTTTGAACTCTGAATAATTAACTAAGACAAGAGTTAACTGTGAGCTGTAAATATATTGTTTGAATATATAAAATAGGGAAAGTAATGTAAAAATATTTAGTTTAAATTAAACAAAAATGGTTACATGAGAGAGTGTGACTTAAAATAATTATATTTAAATAAAATAATCTGAATCTGAAAATTGTAAATACTTACACTGATTCTCCATCAAAGAGATCTGTTCCCCTAGCCGCCTTCCTCTCTGCAGTGTTTCGGTTTCTCATGGTGCTCAGGGGACCAAGATTCTCCTAGATATCAATCAATCATTGAACTAAATCAATAATGAACTAATCCATAACTTTATCAATCAAACATTCAACTAAATCAATAATGAATTAATCTGTAACTTTATTAATCAAACATTCAACTAAATCAATAGTGAATTAATCCGTAACTTTATTAATCAAACATTCAATTAAATCAAATAATGAGTTATTCCAATTTAATAATTAAACATTCCACTAGTTCAATGATCAATTCATACGTAAATCTATCAATCAATCATTTGATTAGGTCAATGAATTAATCTGTAAATATGAATCAATCATCCAACTGGATCAATAAAAAATTAATCCGTAAAATTATCAATCAAACATTCAATTAAATCAATATGAATTATTCCTTTTTATCAATTTAACATTCAACTAGTTCAATAATTAATTCATTTGTAAATCTATCAATTAATCATTTGATTAGGTCAATAAATTAATCCGTAAATATAGAATAAAACTAGCATGGGATACAACACACTATAGCAAAATTGGGACAAGGATTTCATTTCAGAGGTCAAAATAGACATTGGAGTCTTCTAACCAGCGCGCTAGTAGCCAACCATTACATTATGGGTCATCTTGGCACAGATTTTACATGTTGTATGTAGATTTATAGGTAATTGGGCACGAAGAATTCTTTTCTGAGGTCAAAATAAATATTGGAGCATTCTGACCGGTACGCTAGAAGCAAACCATTACATTATGGGCCATCTTAGCACAGATTTTACATGTTGCAGGAGGCTGATTTTTTGTATGTGAGCTTAAAATGATGTATATTACATGCATTTTTTGGGTTTGAGCAACAGTGCGAGGGCACACTTTTTGTGAAAAAATACGACTTTTTTATGGTAAATCAATCTTAACCTCATTTATTGCATTATGGGTCATCTTAGCACATATTTTACATGTTGTATGTCAATTTATAGGTAATCGGGCACCAGGAATTCTTTTCTGAGGTCAAAATGAACATTGGAATATTCTGACTGACGCGCTAGTAGCCAACCATTACATTATAGGTCATCTTAGCACAGATTTTAGATGTTGTATGTCGATTTATAGGTAATTGGGCACGAGGAATTCTTTTCCATGGTCAAAATAAATATTGGAACATTCTGACCGGCGTGCTAGTAGCCAACCATTACATTATGGGCCATCTTAGCACAGATTTTACATGTTGCAGGAGGCTGATTTTTTGTATGTGAGCTTAAAATGATGTATATTACATGCATTTTTTGGGTTTGAGCAAAAGTGCGCGGGCACACTTTTTGTGAAAAAATACGACTTTTTTTATGGTAAATCAATCTTAACCTCATTTATTGCACTTAAACATTTATCCTGACACTCTTGAATTGTTAGTATATCAATCAATTAATATCAATTTTATAAATTGATCAGTCCATGGTCCATAAAACAGTAAATTAAGCACTAAATTAATCTGTTCAAATTATTTTAACGTTTATATTTTTGACACTGACACTGAAGGAGGAAGGAAGGGGACATGAGTTGGAAAATGTCTGATCCATTTGAAATAAGAAAATCTCATCCAAGGATCTGAAATATCTTTTCATTTTCAGCTTCAATGACTCGAACGTTTTCCACACGACCAAAAAGAGATACTAAAAGATTTAAGTTAATTTGATTTTCAATAATCATGGATCTAACAAATATCTTAACAAACAAACATATTTTTTTATTTTTTATATATTGCCTAGTGAATAAAGCCATAGTAAAATTGTTTCAATCTGCGCATGCACATTTTGCGCAACCCTGGCTAACATAGTGGAGTATTTTTCAAAGATATACCCTGGGATTGAACATCTCCTCAATCTGATATTTGTCCTCACCTCACTGTTTGAATATGTCATGTTAAGGTAAGGTGATAAAGGATCATTGGGTCGCTCTGTGCCGCTGAATAGATTACTGAAACTGAAATAAAAAAGTTAAAAATGCACAAAACGGTTAAATTTTATCTTTAAATATTTAATATAATTTATTTGAATAAAATATGAAAGAAATAGAAATAAGTTAAATATATCAATAAGTAACCAAAAAACTAAGGAATAGAAAAACAACATTTAAGATATTTTTGTGCATTTCATGTTGTTATAAATAATGACGGTAGATTGAAAATAAAAAAATCTGAATACACGGTACAATTGATGTGTTTCATGTGTATTGGGCTATTCAATATCATAATTTCAGATTAACGTCGTCTTAATATACAACAGCTTTCAGGGTCCCGCTGTACAATATTGATAAAGAGACAAAATGTGTTTTTTTTGTGCGGATGAAAAATGATTTTTGAGCAAAAACATATACTCTGGATAAACTACTAGATTGAAAGAAGAAAAAGAAATATCACTGATATATATATAAAAATAAGGCTTAGGTTTTCTCAATTTAGAAATAGAGATTTAAATCTAAGATCAAAATTAACGATTAGACGTTCAGCAGTCAAAATACTTTCCGTTCATTTTTTTATTAACTAAATAAGTCCTGTTTGGCATAATTAATTTAGTCCCGTCATTGAAAAAAATGAGGAGAATTTTGTGGTTATATAAATTCCATCCATTTTCTTCATTGGAAATTTGGAAGTCACTATTACAGAAAACCGCAATTAAGAGAAATCGTTTTTTATTAAGAAAAACAGGGATAACTCCGTCATTTTTTGTTCCCAGAAACACTTGTCTATTTCAAGAAGAACTTCTTTAAATGCAGTAAATACTTACAATTTCCATATTCCTTTATTATTCTTCTTGTCGATGGGTGAATCTGTTTTAGAAGCTCTAATCATCTCAGTCCACCTTTAAGAAAATATCTTAAATTTTCTACAAATAAATAGTCAAGTCAAGGTTATTCAGGGTTCGGTCGAGCCTTCTCTTTCAACCCCATTTTTATTAATGAATATATACTTTAAACATTTAGTCTATAAGATCATTACCGTGTTATTTTAGAGATTTTATTTTAAAGATCGCATGTTATTTATTGAGTTAAAACTTACAAATTTAAACTGTTTCTTAAGAATTGGGATAAGCGACATAAAATTCAAGTATTCCAAATATAAAAACAAGAACAGGTTTTCATCATACAACATCACTGGAGTCAACATCTCAATTTCAAATCTAAAATTAGATGAATAAAAGTCACCTAACAGCTTCCTGAAGTTCCATAAATCGTTCCTTGTACTGATTCCGTTCCATCAAAACACGTGCCATCTCAACCCTGATTATAAAATCAAAATAACTAATCCATTAAAACATGTTCCATCTCAACCCTGATAATAAAATCAAAATAACTAATCCATTAAAACATGTTCCATCTCAACCCTGATAATAAAATCAAAATAACTAATCTATTAAAACATGTTCCATCTCAACCCTGATTATATAATCAAGATAACTAATCCATTAAAACACGTGCCATCTCAACCCTGATGATATAATCAAAATAACTAATCCATTAAAAAGATTTATCGCGATATAAAAATACACATGGGGACGGGATGGTTTGGTATACTCTCCCGTTTTGCCTCATAAAGCCTGTATACGACTGTGTTTCCTGTGTGTACTGCCCACAGGAACTGAGTTTTTGTCTTATTAATAAATCTTTGAAACCTGATGGGTTAAACATTAGATATTTCAAACTTAGTTGTTATTATCTAACAGAATTTATAGTTAGAAATATGAAAGTGCTAAGACATTGGGTTGCAAAGAAATAGGGATTAGAAAATTTCTTTTTCTAGTTGCTTAAAGGTCGGCATGGTACTTCTAATAAACCAGAGCTTACAGTGAATAATGATCATAAAACTATTTATGAAGACAATGATAATATTGACCTTGTGAAACGTTTTCTCTGTGCCATCGGGACATCTTCCTGCTCCTCCTCCTTCTCCTTCTTCCCCTTCTCCTCCTCCTTGATGACCTTGAGCTCCTCCTCTAGCTCCTGAACCCTCCCCTGGAGCTTAGCTCGCACCTCCTGAAGACTCCTAACCTCCTCACGAAGAATCTCATGCTCTCTAAATAAAACATTGAGTTAAGAAAAAAAGTTAATTCTTCATCATAAAAAAATACTATTTGACCAGAGCATAGGTAGTAATGTGCTTCAAGTTTTAAATTAGTTTTTCTCTTTTTTCTCTTTGGCAGAAAATGTTTTTTTAAATGTTTATCCTAAACAATTTCTTTTCTGACACTTTGCCAAATTTTGACCCTGACAGATAATTTATGCAAAAAAACGATCCAAAAACGAACATTTTGTAACGGTAATTTTTTCATAGTTTTCCATTCTTTAATATTGCAAAGTTTAATGAAAGCAATTGTTAACAGAATCTCGGAAGTTTTATTAAAGTTTTTAGAAACCAAACCAGTTAACTACACTCATTAGACTCGGGATTATCTGATGAGTTGAGTTTGCGACTGCGCCGACCAATGGCAGTATCTATTATTGTATTCAATTTTTCTGCTCACCCTGTCAACTCGTCAACTTTAGCGATGAGATCGTCCTTAACGATGTTGAGCGCGTTTTTGGTGGCGAGGAGCTCGTTGTTCTCCATAATCAAGTTCTCAACCTCCTTACCCATACCTACACAATCAGTCAAAAGTAACAGTGAGAACCGGAAAACCGTGGAATTCTTGTCGTCTTCTTTTTCTTTTAATTACTTAAAGGGACAGACCGGCTACGTAATGTAGTTGAACTGAGTATCCGGTGTTGTGGACAAATTCTTTTGGTTTCGTTTGAGACATATAAAACTTTTCCACAATATTTAACTTCTGAGTTTGAGTGCATAGTCGACGTTCAAAATTATGAATTTGGGTGGGTACGTTTTCAGAATCGGTTAGATTAAAATAAATTATTAATAAATAAAAAGAACAATTCTGAAAACGTATCAACCCGAAAGTACAATTTTGAACGTCGACTTTGCGCTCAAACTCAGGATTTACAGATCTTTAAAAAGTTTTTTATGTCTCAAACGAATCCGAAAGAATTTGTCCACAGCACTGCATACTCGGTTCAACTACATTACATAGTCGGTCTGTCCCTTTAAGTCGCTAAGAATATTTAAAATTGTAACTGAGCTATTTCTAAAAGTGCCCTCCACATTTGAAAGTTATATCAGGTGCAACAATTGAAAAATACACAATCCTTAACTTCACTTCTTAAGTAAAGGAAGTACAAAGACGACATTTAGTAGATTTTTCTGTTTCTCACTGTGTAGCTAACTAACAACAGTATTCAAGTCATGCAACTTTTTGCTTTTTTGAAACGATAAGAAAAGACAAGTTTTTTATTCACTGTGAAAATATATTTTTCTTTGCTTCCAATCTCATATGTAAAGTATGCGTTAGGCATTTATTATATCTGACAGTTAACGTTATTATAAAAAATTACCAAAAAATCATTTTGTATATCAAACAAAATGAATTATTTTTTACAAGGTTTCTATGATCAACATCGTTACTAGAAATAACCACCACTTCCCGCGTGCAAAAATTGCAAAACATTGCAAAAATATTATTATTTTTCACAACTCTGTACTGACTGAAATGGACCTTTCTATTTCAGAGTGCAGATTTGTTCACCAGGAAAACAAAACAAAAGATTGTCAACAAAAATCAGTAAGAGTGAAAAATTTTAAGCGGGGGGGACATAGTTTGATGAAGGGAGTGGGAGGATGGATCATATTTTGATAAATGGAGGGAGGGGAAGCATATTTTGATAAAGCGAGCGGGGGGGGGGNTAAAGGGGGGGGGGATTTCATAAGACATTTCAAAGATAAAAAAAATCATATACAGGACATTTCATGTCTAGGACATCTCCACTTTATAAAATTTCTTCTTTTTTAACAATGTCTGAACACCGCGGGGGACTTGATGAACAGAACTCTTGCCTATTCTTACCAGTCACCATCACCAAACTGTGTAACTGATTCTCAAAACAACAAGAAAATTGTAAAAAAAAGATGTTCGATGGAAAGGTTATGACGTTGGAAGCTCAACCTTTTATTCTTTATTCAAATTAATATCCCCCCCTTCTCTCCAGCCCTCTCTATCCAGGACATCATTCTAGACTCCATCATTTTAGATTACAGAATTTTATTTTCTCATTTCAAGGGAAAATTTCTGTGTTCTACAGAAGATAATTTTAATCAAGATTAGGAATGAAATCATTTTTTTGCATATTTTAAATGATCTTTAAATTACTTTTGTTATCATAATCAGTATGATGAATATTTTGATGAATATTCAGGTTGGGAAAACGTAATTAAAAATTGTCTACTAGTTTTTGATGAACTTTATCCAATGATTATTAATAAAAGTTTAAGAAATTGTTAAATTATTCATGAAAGAAAATGATATTTCAAGTAAAAGTTTGAAGGACCCTGTAACTTGTAAGTGTATACTGACAGGTAATCAGTTAGAAAAGATCTAGTGTAGTTGGGAGACCCTTCACTCTATAGTTCCTTGAATAGAGAATAAAGATCAATCTCCCCNCAAAGCTGACAGGGATCTTTAGAAAAATAATGAGGGGAGGGTTGTGAAAAATAATCTACATGCTATTCTAATCCGTATCCCACAGCCTTTAAGTGACCAAACACAAGAAGGAGAAATGTTTTCACAAAAATTCAGTCCATGTGGCATTTGAGTTGATTTATTGATTTCTATAAATAAACAAAAAAAAATCCCCCCTTCCAAAAAAATGAAGATTTCACACATTTATTAAAACCCAAAAAGGTGATCTGAATATTTTCCAAATTAATTTATACAATGGAATCTGTATCTAAAAAAAATGTGGAAATGCTTATTTTTGGAAAATATATCCCCCCATCACCATTACATTGACCAGATATAAGTACAAATTACTTCTTATGGCTAAAATCCCAGCTGAACGTCTATATCTCGAAACTTTTTTATTCCCTAACACAAATATTTTAGAAAAATTAAGAGTTTGATAAAAAAGTAAAATTGGAAAACACTTAAAATTTTGACTTTTCATGCGAAAGGTAAAATATAAAATAGTGAAACAAAGGAAATAAACATTTTCCACAAACTTTGATTTTTTAACCCTGGCCAATGTCTTTGAAAATTGATGTCGTAACTTTCAGAACTCATGGTTAAAAATTTGAAAGGTCTGCTACATCAGGTTGCAAGGATGATAAGATTAAAAATAAAAGTTTGTTAAAAGTGTTTCTTACTGTGAGAATAATTTGCTTTGTTGTTAATAAACATGCAGTTTTTAATGATCAATGAAATTATTCAAAAATATATATCTAAATAAAATATTAGGTATAGCTTACCGTAGTAGTTGTCATTAGCTGCACAGCCATAAAAATACAATAATTAGTAATTATTAGAATTAAATTTTTAAAAAGCATGAGACCGAATTTAAAGAATTTAAACCGCGTCGATGAACCACCAACAACCAGTTCTAATTGAGCGCCGGCTCAGATCTCGTAACTCTGAGCCGCGTCTCAAATTTGACACGCGGCTCAAATACTTTAAATTCGGGCACTGATTATTCTTTTCTATAATGGATTTTAGTTTTATTAAATATCATTTATGACTAATGATTTGTCTACATATAAAAACTTTTCTCTGTCCTAAAGTTTAGGAGAATTTTAAAGAATTTTAATCTTATACTTTTACAGACGAGTTGTATTGGAAAAATGAAACGTAAAAAAGTGTTACTTATTTTTTAAAACCCACTCTGGAACAAAAAAACAGGCTGTTATTGGTTAGTGTCAGCAAACAATCATAATGTCTTAAAATAATAAATTTGCAATCAGAATAAGTTGGAAGACATTATAAAAGTCAAGAAAGAAAATAAAAAAAATGATGAAATTCAAGAAAATGAGATTTCTTAAAGTTTTATTAAATCAAATCCTTATCATAATTCTAGTTTAAACAGTTAAAGGGACTGTACACGTAATTTAAGTGACGCTTTCATTTAACAAATAGCTGGTCCGATTCACAACAGTAACGGGAAACATTTCGTCGTTTTTCCATCTTAACAGTTGAGTATTCTTAAAACTACACTATATGTTTCTGCTGCATAAAATCCGTAATTATAGTAAACCACAATTCGGACATCAATCTATTGAAGCGGACTGTCACTTGAAATTATGTCGACAATCCCTTTAAGGATAAAATCTCATCCAAGACTTGTTTTTCACCAGATTCTTCACAATTTCCTTTAAGGTCTATATAGTATATAAGCATTCAACATTCCAAAATAATGCAAAACAAATCAGGCAAAACTTACTAAATAAAAATAAAACAAAAATTACCGTTGTCATAGCTACGATAGCTTACACCGTCATCGTCGCTGTCTATAAAAAATGAAAAAAAAACTAAAAAATGAAAATAAAAGAAAAAATTGTTGCTTAACAGTGTAACATGCATTACATATACTTTTTCTATTGAATGTTCTAAGTAAAAATATGTACATAAATGTGTATTTTTATTGTTATGTACGCTTTGAAACTTGTATAGTGCTAGATTGAGTGCTGGACAATACACAGTAAAATGCGGAGGTAAATATCTAAAGGAAATAATTTTCAATTATTTTGGGAGTAAATTAAAAATTGGCAATTTTCCCTTAGTGTATACTTGTTGGAAAAATAAAAATCATAAATTTTTTCTACCAATTCATTTGTTTACTGGGATGGGGGAAAATATATACAAAATATATATCCTTGCATTGTGCGCGGGCATTACAATTAGGCCTTTAGTGTACACTACTACATTTAAGCATGCTATCCTATGTACAAAGACTGACAATGCGTACATAATACATAATACATAATACTGACCAGATGAAGCAAATTCTGCTGGGTGTACAAACCCTCCTGTAGCGTGGAAATATAAAAATGTAAACACAATCTTCAGTACATATTTAAAAACAAACACTGATTTAAGATCATATTAGTACAAGTACAAGTGGTACAAGTACAGTACAATACTATTATAAATTTACAAAGAACATCTAATTAATTTTAAGTTTTACACGCTTAACGTCAGTGTATACTGTATACCGAAAACAACAGGAATAAAGTTCTGAAGAACTTAAGATTTGGTTTCATTATATTCTGTGGAAAATATGATAGTTTGATGCTACTTTATCTGTACCCCTGTAATTTGTCCGTTGTCACCCCGGTAAAATGTCCTTAGTTTGCACCCAGCTCTTGTAAATTGTCCTTTTTCTGCACCCATGTTTATTGTCCTTTTTCAGTATAATTTCTGTATTTGTCTGATCTGAAGATGGCTCTAACCTGTTAGATCTGCACCCTCATCAACCTCGCCAAGAACCTGAGTATCCTAAAGTTCGATCAATCAATCAATCAATCAACAATTCAATTAACCAATCAAAGAAATCAATCAATCAATCAAATCAATAAATTAATTAACCAATCAATCAAGCAATAAATCAATCAATCAATCAATCAATCAATCCAATCAATCAAGCAATAAATCAATCAATCCGTCCATATTTTAATCCTCCTGGCAGAGTAATATTTCCCCAAGTTCATGTTTTACCCGTCCTATTGTATAAAAACTTTGTTAAGAAATCAAAAATACACCAAAATTCAATTATTTAAACAAACTAATTTACCTGGAAACTTAATTCTTGGTATAGATTATTTCCAAGTCTCTTCTCCCTAAATTAAGTAAGGAATAGAAGGGAGATATAACTAACACGGTCCGCCCTACCATGTAATTATACATGCTTTGTAGACGGTACTTCATTTGAAATATTAGTGTGATGTACAATTACCCCATATACAATAACCTATTCTGAATGTTTCTTATACAAATGGAGTACAGTCTGCAAAGCATGTATACTAATATGGTAGGGCGAACCTAAATTTCTATTTAAATGTTCCTACTTTGTTTAAGGTCTAGGCATAAGGCAATGCTTAGAATCCGGTAGGAACAAAATAAAGAATAAAAATATTATTTTGGAAAGAACAATGACTAGAAATTGTTCAAGTGTCGAAAGATTAAGCAACTAAGAACTTTTTTTCCTGCAAAAAATCTAAATCTTTTATTTGAGCAAAATGTATGTACGTCGCATATAAAAATAAAATTGCTCATTATTATATAAACAAAAATTACTAGACTTTAACAAAAAGTTTTTATTACTTTTTTACTTACGATTTAGTATGGGTTGAGCAAGGAATAGGTGTAGAGGGAGAAACTGGGGTTGCAGGACCAATACTTCCGTCCTGATCAAACAAAAACACTTATTTATTAAATAATACTAGGTGTCCCAATAAACATAGGAGTTAGTGACAAATTTGAGATCGTAGATTATTTTTAATTATGGTGATATCCCAAGGCTTACTAGAGGTAAGGTGTATTCTGTAGAATGTTTCGTCTGCTAGAGCTTTGCATTTTTTTGTTTATGTTGATTTATAAACTGTAGTAATGAAAAGTAAATGTTTAAAAAAAGTAAAGCTGTCACTCATTACTTTAAAACAAAAATGTCGCAAGTCACTTTTATAGAAAAACCACAATTTAAAATATTTTTTAAAGATAAATCATGAATATCTTAATTATTCTTGATAAAATAAACCTTTAAAGATAAATCATGAATATCTTAATTATTCTTGATAAAAGGTACTGTTGTGTGTGTATCGGATATATCACTCTATAAATGGATAGTCACTTGAAATCAAATCTACGGTCTCTGTAAATATCGGGGAAAAAAAATGCAAAAATGGAAATAGAATTCAGAACCAAGGAAATGTGTCAAATCATTCTTTCAGAAGTTGTTCCACCTTAGAAACATCCTGGGCTAGTTCAATGCTTGATGAATCATCCATCTCCGGGCTCAGTCCTTCAACCCAACCACCTTAAGTATAACATTTTAACATTCTTCATATTCAAAATATGTTAATCCATACATTTATCTATCTAAATGTGAATGTTTGTCATGCAAGGGGATATACAGGGTGTCCCATTATACAGGATAATGTCTTGATTAAATAAGTTGTGCACTTCATTTGTGAAAATTTGTAAATATACATTTTTTAAGAATAATAGACAACAATAATGAATCTTAATAAACCTTTTCTTGGTGCTAATTCCACTGGACAACATAAGTTAATTTGGAGATAAAATAAGTTTATTATTATGATCAAACTTATTGAGAAAAAAACATATTTGAGAAATTCAATGTTAATAGCCGGTTACTAATACTACACATCAAAAACAAATGTTTAAGGAAACTGATTTTAAGTAAAAAGTCAGTGTTCAATGTTTATAAAAAAAAACAAGCAAACTAAAAGGTAAAATGTAATATCTATGCGTAATTTAAGGTTAGAATTTAAGGGAAATCATAATGGGAAAAGTCTAAAATATTTCTACAAAACAGAAATAAAAAAAATTTGAAAAATAGTTAACTATAACATCTAATTGTAACAGCGGAGTGTCCCAAAATTACTGTAAATTACTAACTTCAACTTTAATTAACACAAACATCAATTTAAATATTTTAAGATACACTATTTAGACAATCAAACCAAAACTTGTGACGTATGTGCTAAAAATCGCTCAATAAGATAATATGTTCCATATAAATTATGATTAAATTTCTTCTACAGTAGTTAATTCCTTTTGATAAAAAGAATTAGTTCATTTTCCCATGGCGTCCTGTTTAGATTTTATTTTACATTTCTTTCCGGGTTGTCCTTGTTTTCCGGGAACTTAAACATAAATTATGTTTAAAGTATAAAATGAGTTCCATAATAACGATTAGTGCTCGGTTTCCATTGTTCCAAGGCGTAAAATTTCTATTGTTTTGTCAGCAAATAACTATAGAATTTTTTGATAAATTGTAAATACTTTTCCGCGCATGGAAACACAGGATAAAGTGATAAAACGGGTGAACTAAGGTGTGCATGCTTAATCTAAGTGTACTTGTGCCCAGATCCCCCTCAGTGCCACTCCTGGTGCCCAAAAGATGCGCATTTTTCTCAACATTCTCCGGATTTTGCGCGTTTTCCTGAATTGCAATCTCCGGATTTTGTTGAAGAATATCCTCCGTAATCTGACCTTTATCAACCATTTGCCGCCGGTTTTTGTTCGCCATTCCTTCTCCCGGGGTCTAAAAAAATATATTAAAAAATTGGTTAAAATAAGATAGATAGAAAATGTAGATAGAAAAAAGTAGTTAGAATAAAGTATAAAGAACAGAAGTAGATAAAATTAAGTAGATAGAATAGAAGCAGATAGCAAAAAGCAGATGGATAAAAGTAGATATAATAAAGAAGTATAGAACAAATTAGATTGAATGAAGTAGATAGAATAAAATTTCCTTGGAGCTTGTTTTATCCTTAAAAGAAACCATGCCTACAAAGTTCCATGGGGTGCAATTATTCTTGAAATTTGGTTTTCTATTCCTTTTCTAGTATTTTAGTTTGAAGAGGATACTCTATTACTCATACTCAACATTTATATTAATTTGTACAACATATTGTCAGCTTGTTAACCAGTATAAGTGGAACTGCATACGCTCATTTAACAGGTGAAAGTTTACTCTATTAAAAATATCTAAACATTGAGTAATTTTTCCAAAAAATAACGATAAAAGATTTAAAATTAATCAGACTGGAAGTTTTGTACAGGGTTTTATTTTACGGGCGAAACAAAATCCAAGAAAGATTCTAAATCTTCTTTTTTTTTTCTTACATGGAGCTCTTTCTTGATACTAGTAGAGGAGTATTCAACAATAGGGGTCTCCAGTCCCATATCACAGCTCATCAGAGATATCTAAAAGTTAATTTTTCATCAAAAAAAGTTTCCATCTTAAAAGGACTGTCGTTGTAATTTCAAACGACCTTTCATTAAAGGGACCGTTCATTTATTCAAATAATTTGAGAGTAAACTAAATAGCCTATTATATATTCATTGGTATTAGTCTTACTTTTCAAAGACAACTGTGGCCGAATGCTTTTTGTCATTGTCATGTATTATAAAAAATTTCAAAAATTTGATTAAACTGTAGTATCTAGTTGATTGTAGATATCTTTACCTTTTTTTAAAGTTATTCAAAATTTGTCTATTTTCAAAATATAACTTTTTTTTTTAACATTTGACGGATTGATACGTTTTCTCTACTTCCCCAGGAATCCCCGAGTTGGAATCTAGGAACCGGTTTGATGGAGAGAGAAGGTCGCCTTTGTATACACATGTTAAATCATGCTTGCACATGAAAAACGTTAATTTCTTGATAATTTTAAAATCAAAAGTTTTCATATTTTTATTGTATTATGGCTGACGCATGATACCATTGAAATATGATAATTTTGATAATTTTAGATTGTATTTTGCTGTTGTTACTAAAAAAAAAGTTTAAATAGTGTCTATGCAAAGGTATCGTTACTTTCCGCTGGAATTCTAGGCGATAAATCGGCCTTTTCTCCGGTCATAGATATCTTTGAAAAGTAAGACTAATACTAATGAATAGCTAATAGGCTAATTAGTTTACCATGAAATTACCCGAATTAGGGGAATGTCCGATTCACAGTGGTACCCTCTTTTACTTTTATCTGATCAATGATAAAGAAAATATTGTTCTTTTTCTTCCTAAAAAGTAATTAATTCCTCAAATGTTCATGAAGTCCAATTGAACATTATCATTCTTTAAAGAGAAAACTATAAATATCTTATACAGTCTTGATCAAACAAGGCGGTGTACCGTGCAAAATCAAGCATGCCATTTTCTAAATGGAATCACTAAAAAGTACGTAGAACTGTAACTAAGGTTAAATATATTATTTATCAATTATCAATAATAGATTTCATAACTCTGAAATAACTTGAAAAATGATCTTCTACCTCATTATTATTTTCTAGTTCGCTATATCCATATGAAACCGGTCCAGAGGATCTGAATTTAAACAAGAAATTAGTTTATTTTAATTTCATCATTATTCATCTTTCAGCTATATACGTGTTATATGGGAGATTAAAGGGTTCGTTGGTCTTTAAGATTTCTTTGTTCAACAAAGCTTTTCCCTTCAAATTTTAAATCTCAATAATCTTTTGATGCACGAACCCCTAATCCTTTACCATTCTTCAGGGGGAAATTTTGTAAAAATAAAAAGTTTAAAGGATATTTTTTTTTCCTTAGTACGTCTATTGACTTAGTTTGGCCAATATATCTTTACAACAGAATTCACCAGAATTAGGATCTAAAAAGGTTGAGCACACAAATTTCATTAGAAGAGGATAGTTCATTTGGCGTACCGTCCCATTTTGCTTTTTATTGTCTGTATGTGTACTGTACAGCTTGCTCTAGCAGGTCAAAGTCTGACCGGTACGTGAAATGAACAGTGGGGAGACTAGCTGATAAATCCTCATTTCATAACCCCCCCCCCCCTCACAACCCATCATTAAACCAAGAACTTAACTCTTCAATATTGACCGGAATACTGTAGATAATAAGAGATAAGGCGGGTCAACTTACAGCCTACAACGTAGGGGGGGGGGAAGTATTTTATATTACTGTGAATATAAATCAGTTTTATCTGTAGAAGCAACAACATATTAATGAACACTGAACTCTGAACAACTGTAGAAAGAAACTTTAGAAGATTTTCGAAAAAGAGTATATTCAAAGGTTTTCCAGAAAATAATATATTCTCTTAAATTTTCTGGAAAAAATGTGTTCTGCAAAATAAGACAATCTCTCAGCAGAATATATTCTTGACAAAAAATGTCTGCATGCAGAAGATATTTTGGGATATTTTGAAAAAAAAGAAAAATTTCTTTCCCTGACAACCCCCCCCCCCCCCAGCCTAACCCCTACTGACCTGTTTAGAGGATTAAGACTCATGTTAGGTAAACGATTCCTAGCAGTTCCCAGATCTAATCTGTCCCCTGCCATCACCTTGCTCCGCTCTATATAGTCCATGTGCGTCTTGAATAGGTCCGTGTACCTGAAACAGGGACATATACATATACTTTCTTCAAAAATATTTTTTTTTTGTACAAGATTGTTTGCTCGGAGCTTCAAAAGTTATGAATTGGGGAAAGAAAAAGAATTTTCAATTTTTTCCCCCGAGATCATCGAAAACTATAAAAATCGTCTTTATCTCTAATATTCTAGGGTAGTGTGCTCGACCCTCGATTTGAAAATATCTAAATTTAAAAGAAAAAGTTAAACAAACCTTTCATGAAGCTTTGTGTATTCTTTTTTCTGCTCATTCTCTTTTTCTTCTAATCTTCCAATCTGGTCCTGCGAATATAATCCTTCTATTTCCCTTACTTTTTTTAATACATTTTTCCTTTATATATAAATAATTTAATCTTAAGATGAGCGTAATCTCTCTAAACGTATTGTAATCTGCGAGGCTATAATTTTAACCAATAAAAACTCAGAATTATTTAATGAAGGTACTTTCAATTTGAAAAATGTACAATAGTATTGATTCTTCGCCACTAACTCAGATTTTCTCATCCCTATATCTTTGCAACCTGAAGGTGTAACCCTTTGATATCTTAAACAGAATTCATGGTTTAAATTATAAGTATCGACCATTGAGAAGTTGGTTAATCTTCTCGAAAAAGAAAATGAGTCCTGTCCGGTATTCGAAAAACCCAAACTCAGGTAACAGATTAATGGAAAGATTAAAACATGAAGTGGTTCCTAGAAATAGAGAACAAAACCAGCAACAAATTTTTTCTCAATCTCTTCTCTCTCAGCCATTTTTTCTTATGTAATTTTATTTTGTATGATCACTTGAAATTTACTTTTTTTCGTAAAAATTCACAAAATAATGATATCTTTTTATTAGACCTAATGTCAAATTATCCAAGTCCAGTTTTTCTTCCACTTTCTCTTTTAAAAAAGTCAAAACTTAATAAATCAATTTTTGAGACTTTGCAATTTTGGACCCCGTTCTTTTTTAATTCATAAATAAACCTAGAAAAGTGTAGATTATTTAATATCGAACCTGTGAATTTTTTGCTTTGAGCTCGAACATTTTCACGATGGATGTGAGACTCTCAATTTTTAAATTCGAATCCTTCCGCTCCCCCTCGAAATGATCTTCTATCTCTAGATTCTTCTGCTCTGAACATTTTCTGAAAATTTCAGATTCTTATTTATGGTGTTAGATACTTTCCAAAAGGCATTTCCCAAGTGACAATATCCCAAGTGGCAACTACCCAAATGTGCAATTTCCAAAGCGGCAACTTCCCAAAGGTTAGGTTAGGCCCTCTGAGGCGCCGCAGGCTGCAATGGAGGGTGGGGCCTAGCGCTGCGGCTACGATAAACTTAGAAAGTTGCCGCTTGGGAAATTGCACATTTGGGAAGTTACCACTTGGGAAAATTCTTTGGGAAAGTATATTTATTGCCCCATAAAATGAAAAACAGGGGAATATATATACTTTTTTGTAATATCATTCCTCTCTCCAATCTTCATAAAAAAAATTTGCTGAAGTTGGTTCTTGGCAACAAATATTTATTGAGAAAAATAAGGGGGGGGGAATTCGAAATTTATTTAGAAAAAAAATCGTGCTGTGGGAATAAGTCTTTGATGTCTTAAAATTGAAAAAATAAAAAGTTTGCAGCAATTTTCATTGTAGTTTTTCAGACTGCTTTAAAGTCTGAACTCAAGTTGTCTTTAGGTTTTCAAGAAGACGTAACAATGTTCACAGCCGAGAAGGGGGGGGGGGGCAGCACCTGAGCTGTTTCTCTCTCTCGTACTGTGTCACCAGCTGTTCATTATCCTCTTTAAGGAGCTCGACTTCCACCTAAACAACAGGGTTTAAAAATTGTGCCCTCCATTAATTAAAAATTGCGCCCTTCATTAATTCAAAATGGCGTCCTCCATTAATTCAAAATACCGTCCTCCTTTAATTCAAAATGGCGTCCTCCATTAATTCAAAATAACATACTTTGTATACTATATTGAAAAAAATGGCGTGAAATACTATTTCAGAAGTAAAAATACTAAGACAAAATTTTACAGCGGAATTTTAAAAAGATTTATAAAAGAACCATTCAATTTAAAATAAAAATTACCTCAAGTTCCTGACTCTCAGTGTACGCCAAGTCCAAAGATTCTAATGGAGAAATTTTTAAGTCGTAAAAGAGAAACTTCTAATTTTTTTTTAAATAATTTGTTTCGCTGAATAGTCTAGCTAGGTGTATCATGCGTGTCTCATAAAAAATAATTATTTATCAAAATCTTTTTAACCGTACATCTTAAAATCGATGTTGTATTTTTGGACCTACGCCCATCCCCTCTACTGCCCATCCGACCTACAAGCACGTGGTTTTAACAGCTGTGGTAGGTCCGATGCACTGTAGGTCAGATTACTTAAAGGGA